TTTTCGGTATTTCGGTATATACCGAAATACCGTTAATTTTCGGTATGGTACGGTATATACCGAAATACCGATATAGCGAAATAGAATTTGTAAATTTTTAGGGCCAAACCCATTAAATAAAATTATTAAAATACCAAGGCCAAAAATTAAAATAACCCATCTTATAATACTACGGCCCTTCTCTAGTTCTCCCAAGTAGAGGCCTAAATCCCTAATCAAATAAATGGGAGAATTTGAGTTTGCACCCCATGTTTTGGGTGATATTTGACTTTGCACCCCATTTTTAAAATCATCAATGTATGCACCCCATTAGCCCAAAAATTGTGAAGGAGTGGGGTGCAAAGTCAAATAATTTTATAGTGAATTGGGGTGCATACATTAATGATTTTGAAAATAGGGTGCAAACTCAAATATCACCCAAAACATGGGGTGCAAAGTCAAATTCTCCCCAAATAAATCAACGTAGAGTCAAGCAGCTTCTCTTCTCTTCAACGAGAATAATCTCTTATTTATACGGAGCTGCAACAATGATTCAAAGATTTGTTATTACAAACATTAGTTATCATTGATTTATGTTGGATAAATATTCTAATTTTCATTATGGATTGTGTTGAGACTTGAGATATTAGCACATAATTTTAGTATTTTCTACTTTGGATTAAATATTGTGTTTTAGTTTTGGTATTGGTTTATGTATTGATGTCGTATGCTACTTTTGACTTGTTAAAATCAGTTTTTTTGGATGTTCGATAGGCCCCTTAAGCTAATACTTTATACGGAATTGCCAAGATGTTTTTTTTTGAATTTTCGGTATAAAACGGTATGGGTTACATACCGTACCGAATTTTCGGTATACCGAAAGTTTCGGTATGGTAACGGTATGACATTTACCAATACCGGATTTTCGGTACGGTATACGGTATGACGTTGAAATTTCGGTATACCATACCGAACCAGCCCTACTCGAGAGTGTGTGAGGGCATGATAGGAATTATGAAAATTGTGTGTATGATTAGTAAAAAAGAGGCTCTAAATAGAAATTCCCTTGGAAGTACTCTCTCCGTCCCAATTTGATTTGTAAAATTTCCTTTTTTGATTGTTCCAAAATGATTTTCCACTTTCTATTTTAGGTATGTAAATAAGAATAAAATGACAAATTTACCTTTACTTTTACTTTTTCCCCATTAACATAAAGACATCTACTTTTAGAAGGATGAACAAAAGTGTAAAAAGTAAATATCATTTATTGTCATTTCTTAATCCTTGTGCTGGTCAAAGTTTGCAATTCAATTCGGGACGGAGGGAGTGTATATACGGAGTATGAAACAAGTCCAAAACTAATTGTTATTGGACCTCTTAATCCCAACTACGCAAGCCCAAATGGTATTCTTTCCTCAATCTTAACCTAAAAATACTGATCATTGCCGCCTATCTTTGGTCTCTTTCATTCGGCCATCTATCAATCCAACGAGTGAACAAGGTATATCTCATCGATCTCGCTTCTTCGTTTCTTTCACTTCCGGCCTTAGCAGTTATTTCCTAACTAAAATCATTCCTTGTTCAAACTATTATCCGGATCTGAAAACAATTAGTTAAAAGGTAAAATATGGTCCACCGATTTTTATTGCAACTCCACTGAACATATCGTATCTCCAATTTTCATATCGGTATTTTCTTAGTTATATACATACACTTTATATGTATTTATTTATTCATATTTACATATAATTATATATTTCACTCCTTGTTTGTCATTGTGTTGTGCTCAAATTTTCCTGTTTTTTAATTATCGATTAGTCAAATATTATTATGATAAATTGATAACCTACGTTGGATGTTTGGTCAATTGAGCACAATCACTTTATACCAACGTTGTTTAATACTATCCTCCTTTCTTTAATTCTTGCAACAATTTGACTTTCACGTTTCTCAATGCACAACTTTGACTGTAATTAAATTTAATTATGTATTAGTAAACATTATAAAAATTTGATATTTTGGAAATTCAAATTGATAGGAATTTAATAACATTTTATACGTAATAATTTGATTATGTTATTATGTATATTAGTAGAAAATCGTCGTCAAAGTAAAAGCTGTAAATAGTGCAAAAACCACAATGTTGCAAGAATTAAAGAAAGGAGGAAGTATGTTTTGCATGTCAATAATGTATCCATATTTGTGTATGTATTATGTATTTGTATATTATCTATGATAATATGTATATATAACTCTACAATCACGCATGCCTTCAGATTATTTATGCTGTTAAAATAATTTATCTGTTTTATAAATTTACTTGTGAGGTATGTTCATTTGGAATTTCCACTCAGAGGATTATATAAACTCTTATAATATCACTTTATATAGAATGCTGAATATATGATTTTTCTCTTATAAAATGACAATCAGGTAAGTTCTTAACCACATTGATTGATCTATTTTTTGATACGTATTACTCGGTTTTCAATTCGATTCATCAAGGTTTCTCTTTCTGATCAGAAATGGCGAAGTCAAAGAACCACACAGCTCACAACCAGTCCTACAAGGCTCACAGAAATGGCATCAAGAAGCCCAAAAGCCACCGCAACACCTCCACCAAAGGGGTACATATCATCATCCAATTTTTGCTGCTTTTCCATTCCGCAATGTTATATAAGTATCATAAGCTGCGTGTTTCCTTCGCATCTCAATCATTATTTTGACTTGAATTCCTAAAAATAACTGCAAGCCATTTAATTCTAGAATTGATTTTTTGTTTTTGGTTGTGACAGATGGATCCAAAATTCTTGAGGAACCAAAGGTATGCTAGGAAGCACAACAACAATTGCAACAAGAGTGGAGAGGTCTCTGCTGAGGAGTAGATTTAACTCTGTATGTTCTTAAGATCGATGATGAACTGCTCTTTTATTTTGTTTCTTAGAAACAATTGTATTGTTACACACCCACTCTATTTGAACTAATGTTTTCAATGCATTTTGTTTTGTCATATTATGGATGAGTTTTTTGAGTCATATTTATTCCTATGACAAGTTCCTAATGTTCTACGTAGTATTTCGGTAGTTTCTAGCCTTTTATTGTTTGGGTCTTTTTATTTTCTTCCAATTAGTTTTGATTGCCTTCTCTCTTTGTAATTGTTTTATGTGTATGCTTTTATTTGCGATGCTCATTCATTTCATACCATCCTTATAGTATGAGAAGTTGAGAACTGTATTGGGTGAATTTCAGAGTTCTTCAAGGTTAATTTAGGGCCTAAAGTTTGGCTCATTTCAGAAGTATTATGACGCTCAGATCTAGGATTTCAAATTGGATTCACCTTAGGAGCAGTGAAGAGTAGGGATGGACCGGTTCCCGTTCGGGCCTGGCCGGGCCTCGGTTCATGAAGGGGAGGCCCGGAACCGGCCCGGGTAACCCCTGGGTCCGGGCTGGGCTGGGTCTCGGTTCTAATTTTTTTTTTGGCTTTTCCTAGTTAACCCCCAACCCTCCCACTCGCTCCCAAACTAACCCTAACCACCTCAAATGACCCAAAATACCTAGCCCAAACCAAAAACTTAAAAAAAATTCAAAAAAAAAAAATTGGCCTGGGCTCGAACCGGCCGTGCCGGTTCACCTTTTGAAGGGCCCGAGCTCGAGCCGCCATCCCACCGGGCCGGGTGGCCCGAACCGGTCAACCAACCGGTTCACCGGGCCAGTCCGGGCCTGCACAGTAGCGGGCCGGTCCGGTTATGGGCCTGTTTGCCCGGCCCGAGTCCACTCCTAGTGGAGAGGATGTCTCTAATTGGGGTTATTTCTGTCCCCGGTGAGACTAGGATCAAATTTTGACAATTATAAGATACATCGATTAGACATGAAAATTTTAGTCCAAATAAAAACATTTTCAAAAAATGGTGGAACCAAATTCTACTCTTTTTGTTTACTGTGTTTCAATTCCTTTCATTGCAGCTTCTCTAAGAGTGCAGAATCCCCTGTGAACGACTAAACGAGTATTACTAATTCGAATTTAGTTGATAGAAGTCTACTAAATAAATTGGCTTACAACTTTTATTATTATTCATTTATTCCTAATATACCCTCATACGAAACTATAGTTGGAGGATTTCCAAAATAACTACTGGTCTACTAGACTACTACAGTGTTACACCCCTAAATTAGTAGCAGCCTTCCAATACAACGAGCCTTTCTTACTGTCACTGTGTCACATGCTCATAAGAAAAAAAAATGATGTGAAATCAAACTAATGTTTGTCGTTATTTGTCTTCGAGACTCGGATTCTCAGGTAACACTTCTATCTTCCAACTTAAAGAGAACAATATATGATAAAAATCACAATGTGATTAAATGTGCATTAGTTTGAATTTGAATTCACCTAGAGAAGAGCAGGGAAGACGAAAATCGGGATAATGATTGGGAGTATTAAACAAAAATTAACTTATATTCACCCTAATTTATTATTGAACACTACTTTGAATCATTTTTATGAACATCCACAACATTAATTATTATTGTAGAAAGATACTCCGTAGAAAGTAAAGATGATTCCTACAAATTTCTCAATGAAAATAAGAAAAAATGGCACGTACAGCGTTTTCTTTACATTACAAAACACCACTAATCGTAACGTGTTAGGATGAAAAGGCGAAAAATCAAACAACCACGCAAATACGCAATGAAAAAAACAATATTCCTAATTGTTTGTGTACAAGATAACTTCTTTAACGAATTGTGTATGCAAATATGGAGTAGATAATAAGGAGTGGTGTGTACATAATATGTGTACAAAGCATGTATACAAATGGCATTTTTGAAAAATAAAAAGGATTGTCAAAGGAAATTGTCCAGATTCAAAGTCGATTACGGTGCACGTCCAAAGTTGGGAGCTAAATCCCTAGAAATCCATATAATTCTACCATAGCGAAATCCATAGGATTCCACAAGAGTTTGTAAAATCTTTAGAATTCCTTTAAAATCCATGAAATCCACAATCTTTGAAAATCCATTAAAATCATTGTACAGGACACCCCCTTAGTATTCACAAAAGTTTAACTAAAAATACTCCGGCTAGCCGGACCCCGTCTCTGCGCTTCAGCGCTTCTCCACCTTCAATCCTTCTTCGGATAGTTGGCCCGACTGTCAACTAATGATGTTTGGACAGGTTACTATCGGATATAAATGGCTTAATCACTGAGTTTTCTTTGTTAAGATCTTTCCCTTATCATCTTTAAAATCAAGTCCTGAGTATCTCGGTTCGAAAAGACAGCAACTTTAAAGCGCTCACACTCGACTATGGCTTCTCCGTCTATCAACTTGTTTTCTTCGCTCCCCAGGTCCTCTCCTATTTTGATTCATACTTACTTATATTGCGGGTATGACGATAGCTCATGAATTTTACACACCCAGAATTTAATGAAAGCTGAAAATTTGAGGCTCTTTTCCACATTGAGTCAATCTTTAGGGTAAATGGTCTGTATTTACAGAGTCGTTAGCGAGGTTAGTTCAATTGAGTTTATAAATCAAAATACAAAAAATTCTCTTAAATATGCAGGCAACAGAGAGTAAGCAATGTTTGCCCATATATGAACACCTTACAACTTCATAATCATGGGTGTGTGAGTAAATGGATCCTCACCGCGGCATCTGAGGAAAGATTTATAGAAACTTCTAGAGCTAAGAAAAAGTCTAGAGTAGGGACCCCAGATGAAGAATCTGTCTCTGCTGAGAATGGATTTGGTCCAACTGAAGGTATCAAGAAAAAAAGAACTCGAAAGAAAATTAAAGAATTGGAAACCTCGTCCATTGAATCTCATTCTGCTGAAAATGGAAACGTCAAGGATGTGGACATCCGAGTGATTTCAGGATCAAGTGACACCTCCAAGAAGTCAAGGAGAGCTACTCCTCAAAAGAAAGGTATGTTCTTTAAAAACTAAATTCATACTGTGCCTTTCCACTTATTAGGCCACATTTGAGCATTTCTGGTCAAAGATTTTCAACTTCGTCAAGAACTAAAAAAACTCACAATTAATACATTTGTTCTTATTTAATATATACTCCAAAATATAGCTGAAATGTGGTACAGTTCAACATATTATAGCTCACAATTGTGTGCTTTGGAAATGATAATAATTATAGCTAAAGAACTGGTCACAGTTCAACATATTTGACTACGATTCTGCAGTTCCATTTGAGCATGTTAAAATTGACACTATGCAAATGATAATCTTGCAGCTACTACTTCTAGTAGATTAGACAGAGTTGCAACTGAGAAGAAGGTAACTGGAAGGAGGGGAAATAAGAAGATTTTGAATGACTCTGACAATGAGTGTGCACTAGAGTTGGATATAGACAGAGGAGAGGATATTAGCTTCACTTATGGGTGGCCACCTCTCGTTTGTATCTTTGGTGCAGCGCAGCAAGCATTTGTGCCTTCGGCGAGGCGGGCTCATAGACTAGTGGACCATGAAGACCATGAAAGGAGGAAAGATGTCGTTTGGACACCTGAAAAATTCATGAGGGCCCCTGGAGGTAGTGCAAGTAATGTTGCAGTTTCTCTTGCACGCTTAGGTGGAAAAGCTGCCTTCATGGGAAAGCTCGGGGACGACGATTTTGGAAATTCATTGCTCTATTATTTGAATATCAGCAATGTCCAAACCCGATCAGTATGCATTGATAATAAAAAACAAACAGCTATTTCAAAAATGAAAATGATTAAGAGGGGTGGATTGAAAATGTCCAAGCTCCTGAAACCATGTGCCGAGGATTCCTTATCAATGTCTGAGATTAATATTGATGTGCTGAAAGAGGTAAGTTTTATCACAAGTTCTCTTGGTTGATGAGAAGAAATATACAATAACTTTCTAGGTAGTTCACTGATTTTGAGGAGGGAGGAGTGTTTGCCTGGATCCTTGAAAACGCTAGGGTACCAGAAAAGGAAATCAATAGAATGTTTTTTCTTATGTTGGCTTTGCCCCAAATTAAATGTCTTGTTTTCTTTTTGGCAAGAAATGTGTGCTTAATATCATTACACTTTATTCTACTCAAACATCAACCATAACTTATACATTTCAACTACTTTATTAATAATTGTGCCATAATAAAAAAAGCACATATCACCTAGTCACATGACATGACATGAATAAATAAAGCACACAAAATTAGACGGATGTAGTATATGATTTTTTTGTAGTTTTTTTCATATATTTAGATTCCTTGGCCATTATATATATGAATAATAAATACTCATGTCCCTTAAAATTTGTCATGTTTGACCGGCACATGGAATAACAAAGTGAAAATTGTGTGGGTGAGAGCCGTGCACACGAGAGAGAAATTATAGGAATCACAATTAATTAATTAAAATTGTAAGTGTTCAAGTTTTTGGGACAAGAAAAAATGGAAAGATGGCAAGTTGTAGGGGACGGAGGGAGTATATAAAATGAATTCAAACAAAAAGCTAAAAATAAATTTATTGGTTTTAAATTTTAATCTCGTTTTCTGCTAAATTTTCTTCCATCTGGTATGATCACCTGTTTTCCTGTTTTTTATAACTACTCCGTAGTATTTTACATATTCCAAACAGACCCTTATTGAAGTAATAGATGTGTGGCAATCAATTGACCCCCCGGTCCACCCAAGAATGTTGAATTGGATGATCATTCTCAAACTGTTAACTAGTAATGCTGTAGAGATATGATCAACCTATCACTCTATCACAAACTTGATCGGAATTCTAAAATTTCTCTAGAGTTTTTTCCATTTTACTTTCACCCCTATATTCGAGCTAAGATGTTTTCTTATTAGATCCCTAAAAGCCTCATTAGGTTGTTGTTTGTATAAGTGCTAGCTACAACTTACAAATAGATAGAACAGAATACATTTTATGCTTTTTCTAAAACCTAAATTATCAAGCTTTTCTACTATAATTTTAATTTTAATTATGCTTTCATTTCACTTCAATAATTCTGTTTTTCCATCATTTGCAATGGAGCCAAAGACTCACTATTTTTTGGCTTTGGAATATGATGGAATAAAGCAAAATGGCTCACTAAACTGTCTGCGCTTCTTTTTTATTAAGCAACAGTCAGTCCAAGCAGTTTTCAACGCGATTTTCACAATGGGTCATCCGGCTGCGTACATCCGACCCCCCTTACCCCACCGTAGGTGGGAGGTGGGAGCCTTTGTGGCACTGGGGTAATGATGATGATGAAATCTGTTTTTTTAGAAGATTTATTTATCAAATGTAACCTGGAAATGCAGGCAAAACTGTTTTACTTCAGCACCTTTTCCCTGCTTGACCCAAACATGAGATCAACTACCCTTAGAGCCATAAAAATATCAAAGCAGTTGGGAAAAATTGTCTTTTATGACCTCAACCTTCCTTTGCCACTCTGGAAATCATCCAGTGAAGAAACCAAGGCTTTTGTTCAACAAGCTTGGGAACTTGCAGATATTATTGAAGTCACAAAGCAGGAACTTGAATTCCTGTGTCAGATTGATCCAGTTGAAAGGTTTGACACTAAAGATAATGACAAAACTAAGTTCACTCATCATTTGCCTGAAGTTATTGCTCCTATTTGGCATGAAGGGTTGAAGGTCTTGTTTGTGACTAATGGCACTTCAAAGATACATTATTATACTAAAGAGTTCAATGGGGCTGTTCTTGGAATGGAGGATGCACCTCTCACCCCTTATACATGTGATATGTCTGCATCTGGAGATGGCATTATTGCAGGTAAAAAGCAGTACAACAATTCTTGGTGTACACCTTCTTATACACATCAGTACACCCTCGTGTCTGTGAGAGTTTTTTTGTCTGTGAATCCCAGTCCACAGAAAAATTCTCACAGACTAGGGGTGTACTGATGTGTATAAGGTGTACAAAAGGAATTTTTGAAAGCAGTAATACAGATAGTCGTTTCTTTTTTAGCTTTTGTTTATTTTCTTAAGGGACTGTTGGGAACATAAGACATACTCCGTACTAAGTTAGAGGGGTAAAAACTTTTTTAGATTTTGTTTATTATCTTAAGGGTCTGTTGGGAACATAAGAAATATTAAGGAAGTAGGGTAAAAAAACTAAAAAGTTTCTTTTAATGTTTGGTTTTAAAATACTAAGCAAATACTAGTATAAATTTGATTAGCATTTTTTAATCTCTACATATATTTATATTTATTAGACTTCATATACGGAGTAATACATATAATTAAATAAAACATGTTTGAAAAATTGTCCAAAATGGGTTTATTGAGTGTGGATCACCTATCTATTTTCCCTCATATTTTCTTTTCTTTCAAGCCCCCCACTATTTTCCTTCACGTTTTGTTCCCCAGCCATGGGCAGATCTAGGAGGGGGGCCAACCTAGGCCCTGGCCCACCCCAATTTTAAAAATGCATTAATTTTAAGGTAAAAAATTCCGTGTTAATTTTTTCCCAAAAATATTCGTTGTACCTGCCCAGTGACTTGGCTCCACCCCTGTCCTCAGCAACTTCCATGATTCCAAACGGGTCGTAAAAAGTTTGGGGTTTCAGTAAAACCAGTCACTATATCTATGGTATTATTGCAGAAGTGATGTACTTATAAAGCTAGAGAAAGCTATCCCGAAAGTTATCAGGGAGAAAGAGCAAATTGACCGCTAAGGTTATGAATAAAGTTCCAATAAACCACTAACCTTTCAAATGGACCAAAAAGGCACACATGCAAGGTTTTTGGGTTACTTTTTGACACCAAGTACTCACAGAGGCATCTTAAAGGTTATATCCCAATTCATATGTACGTTTACCAGAGGCATCATCTTAAAGGTTTCTAAACCCTACACAATACAAATCTTGACCTAAAACGAATTCTTGTCAAATACTTTGTTCATTCCTACCAGATCTGATACAAAGTCAAACCCAACCCATATACAGATGTACTCTTCTACTTTGCTTATTTTCCCTTTTTAAATTTTTGAAAAAATGGTGTTGCTTACAATTTTGCATTAAAGGGCATGGCAAAAGATTTATAAACTTAAGAACTTGCAAGGAAAAATTTCCGAGGAGTAACACATCTCCACATTTATCCATTTTTGTGCTACAAGGCTCTCGGATAAATTTTCATGATTGATAAAAAACTACACCTTAGCAGCCCATTTTAAAAGATTTTTGTTGCTGCTAAATTTATGTGTAAGATTTTTATGTCCTGTATTTTTAGGCTTCACTTTTTTTAGTAACAAAAGAAACTAAGATTTTATTTGCTTTTTATTTGGTTCATGTTAAGATGTCATTAGTTGGTTAGTGTATTAAATGAACCAAAGAGTTACTTGTAATGTCCTTTTTGGTTAAAAAAGAAGCTGTGTCAAAATTGAGATTTGATAATGACCTTGATGTCCAATTTGGTCTTACATTATCACAGAGGCACTAATTTTTGTAATACAGTGCTTGGAGCTAATAATATTGGGATCCCTAACATATGGAACAGGTTTATTAAGAATGCTGGCAGTTCAACCAGAGTTTATCACAGACAAAGGCCACATGGAAAGCACCATAAAGTATGCTATTAACTGTGGAGTGATTGACCAATGGTTGCTGGCTCGGAAATTAGGATACCCTCCAAAAGAAGGTACCAAAAATGACGTGGAACCGGATGATAATGGCATAAGGTCTATAACAGAAAAAGAATACAGAACATTTGTACCTGTACATTGATTTGTCTAGAGGGTTCTGTTTTGTACTATTGTTCTTTCTTTACAGGTCTATCCAAGTGTGGGATATAGGACTGGCAACAGTTTGTAGAAATTTTCTGCAACCATTCTTGAAATAGTATAAAATGCTGTTGTATCATGTGCAAGCATGCTTTATTTGATTTACTAAATAAAATGACCTGGGATTGTAACAAAATCAGGAATGAACTTTATACCAAGAACAATTCAAGTGTTTCTTTTTTTTTGATTCCATTGAGAATTTGAGATCATCAATCATGAAGTAAAAAAAAGGGCATATAGAAACTAGAAGTAAACTAAAGTTTTCCCATCCTCTCTACTACATACAGATACATTTGGCATTGAACCTAAACTCCATTTATTCTTATTATTGAGAAAACTCCTGAAGCTTTGATGCAGCTGCCTTATCCAGAAACCAAACCAACTTTCCCTGACAGGGTTGGACGAACTTAGCAGGCAACAATGGGCAATCCGGCCAGATCCTGACATCATCAACAGCCAAATGAACAGCTTCTGCCTTGGTGCTACCAGCAACAACCATTGCCACATTTGAGGCAGAGTTAATAACAGGCAAAGTAAAAGTGATCCTCTCAGGTGGAGGTTCAGGCGAGTCGGTCAAAAACGACACCCATTCTTCTTTTTGAGCGAGGACTGGGTGACCGGGGAATAAGGATGCCACATGCCCATCGGGACCCATTTCTAGAAGTATAAGGTCAAATCTGGGACTGTCGCTAAAGTCAGAGACATTGATTACCCGAGTCTTCACTAGTTGTCTTATAACAAATTCATACTCTTCTGAAGCCTTCTCTGCTGACACTGCGTCATTGATTGAGTGTACTTGACCAGGACCAACCGGCACCTGAATGTACACCAGAGACCTTGAAATTTAGAGCCCGTTTGGAATTCCAAAAATGCTATTCAAATGAAATATGATAGATAAGGAAAAGTGTGGGGTATATCAAACATTGGTTCAAAGTAAAAAGACGGTAACCTTTTTCAAGTTCAGCTGCTCTTATTAATTTCTGTTATATAAAGATTAAAAAAACTAAACAACGTGTAATTTAAATAAAAAATATTAACCAGATTTCATTTCCAAGGGAACACAAAATACAAGAAAATATACTACGTATTTCATTAGATAATTTAATTTCTTTTCTTTATCATTCTGAGAAATCCGAGCATAACTTTATCATGGTTCCCTTTAAAAAACTAATGGTATTTTGAAAACATTTTCCTTAGCAGAGTGCTCTACTGAAAGACCATATATATTCACAGTATACAGAAAAAGTTTCAAACTATTGAAAGAAATTGTTAGTAGACTTTGCACATATCATAAACCAATTTAGTCCCGGTCGACTATATACATTGTTTTTCTAAATAAGAAAGGGTTTTATATCTGTGTTTTTTCTAACTTTAGACCCAATATTACCAATATAGGCTGAATGTGGTGGAATATCTATGTACTTTGAACCCAATAAGTAATCACCCTATGAAAACCCCTTCTTAATCAGAACACAAAAAGGATAAGGATTAAAATGAGACTAAATTGGATCAAACTGAGTTCGAAGTAAAGTCGAGCTCCAGAAATCCAGAATTAACTTATTGCAAAAAAACAGATTAACTAACAATATTTGCTGACAGATGCCACTATTCACTGTAAATAAAGGTTTATTGAGGAATTCCAGAAGTATAAAAATAAAATATAATGCAGGCATTTTACCTTGGACAAAAAGCCATCTTTGGTTAGTTTGTAGTTGCTATCAACATGACTCTTAGACACTGCACGTTCATCAGCCCAAAATATGTGCCATTTTCCCCATTCCACAGTTTTGATGAAAGGCAATTCACATAGCTTTCTGCTCCTTGCAATAAAGTTCAAAATCACATCATAAATCTCTGTTCAGGGAAAGAGATTTTGGTAGAAAATACTAAAATCTATATAAGATAAGCCCAAACATTATTATTCTTACTATATATAAAGACTGATATCTTAGTACATGAAAAACTTTAAAATATACGGAGTATATGTTAAATAATATTTAACTTTTCTTCACAGTTTCTAAAAGTGAGCTCATCTTACATACCCCATGAGGCTAATCAGAATTCCACCAGACAATGCAATGGCAAACGTGCCCCTTTCCTTAACCGAAGCCTCAGATAATTCTGCTATATATTCCGCCAAATCTGTGCTTAGTTCATTCAGATTTTCATAAATCTTCACTTCTCTTCCATCTTTTCTGGGCCCATACAAAGCCATCCTTCTCTAATGGTAAACAATTGAAACCTGTAATCTGCACATGTCACAACAATTGAGACCGAATTTTAGTTCACGCATTAACTCTCAGTAACAAGAATTTTAAAGAAATGCAAGAAATGAAACTTCCAAGATCACTATTTGGGGAGATTTCAATATCCAAGAAGATCAAAACTTTATGAACCTTATTACAAAGTCAGTACAGAAAATTGACGTTTCATCAAAGAAAACAATTCATTAACACGTAATCAAACTTCATTAACAATTCTTCTAAAAGATATACCGGTATATTTAAGTTCTTGACACTAAACCTGGGGTTCCAAGATTATCGAACCACAGGAAGAAACAAGAACACAGTCAAAATCTACCCAAGGAATGGACGATATTGAGCCCATAATCAGTTCTTTCCCAAATTGAACCCAAGAATTTGAAAAAAACGCTATGATCAGCAGAGTATAAAGATTCTAATTTCTTGAACCAAAAACATGCATGTGAATAGAATGTAACAGAAACAGCATTTCAGCCCAGAACCAGATCAAAGATATATATCTCACTCTCAATAAAGAAATTGAGTTGAAGACGGGAATTACAATTCTTGAAATCATAAGCATACGAACTGTCCTTATACCTGAGACCAGGAGTCCACAACTACTGAAGATTGAGAGATACACGGCGTCTTACTGAGGAGGGAGAAACGGATTGAAGGCCTGAAGAAAGAAACTGAATGAAATGCGAGACGGACAATGTATATTTATAGGTAGGAATCATTTATAATAGACGAAGTACTTACTCCGTTTTTGTTACGGAGTTTATTTATGGTTTAAATAAATACTTTTTCATATTGTGATCGAAGTTAATTAGTTATACAAAATATATCGAATCCATCGGGTACAAAATATTACGGAGTAAAATTTAAGTTATTCAGTAAAAAAAAGAACTATATCTCTTTTCTAAATGGATTTGCTGGATTATAAAATTTTGGTTTTTTTCATATGTTTCATTTCTTTAAATAAGATTAAATAAGATTATCCATATTATTTATTGATATATGTTAAATAAGATTTAAATAAGATTTTTCTATTAATCAGTATATTCGATTAAGTTTTTTTACAATTTCATCAATTTTAACTATTCAAACAACTTTATTATTTGACTTGATTGTTTATAACAATCAACAAATGTCCTAGTATTGGGACCCACTTACATTACTGGTCTCATAGCACATTACCATTTTTTCCCCGGGTTTGGGGGTGGAGAAGAGAGTAAATAGGGTTGAAATTTGTTTACTAGAGTTTCGAACCCAAGACTTCTAATATGAGACATTAATATACGAAAATAGAGTTTGTGAAAATAATAGCTTACTCTATTGGGTGTCTTAGAATTGTATTTGTAATAAAATAGAGTTATGGAAATTACACAGTAATCCCTAGACATTACATTATTAATTAAGTCGACGATCAGTTGAGTTACGTAGCTTGCTAACCATTGTACAGGTATTTGTTCTTTTTTTTTTTATGTTGGAGCTTCCTTTCCTAACTAATTGGTACTGAAGCCAAAACTTTGTTAGGTGCTTGTATGATTGTAGCATCTCTTGAACTAACTTATTTTATAGCTCGTTAGAGGGATAGTCTAAATTTTCTTCTCACGGCCTAAGCTTTTTGTGCAATCCCATTTTCATCTTAGCTTTGTGATATTGTTATCTACTTCTCTTTGTGAAGGTTTAGTAGACTAAGAGTAGGAAGATTAGTGTAAGAGGGCTTAGGATATTTTTACTTGGATTGTAATTTGCTGATCTGGTAAGATCTGGTCGATTTAAGTCTTATCTGATAAATGTTTGATATGATCTGTTTAAGTCTAATCTTGTCTGGTTTGATTTAGGACGGAAAAATTCAAATAAAAACATTTTTACCAAGAGGTGATTGCTTCCTTTAGATCTAGGGGTGCAAAATTGGATATTAGAATTAAAATTTCGGGCCATAGAACCAGTCTCCTTTTCACGCCATGCCACTTTTTATAAAATTTAAGTAATTTATTTTAACCATGTAGAAAACAATATTGAAGTACCCTAACAATGGTAGAAAAATGTGATGAAAATTTTACTGTAATTATGCACGTCACTCATATGAAGTATCCTATATTAGTGGAGTGACTAAAAAGAAGTTACAAGTCAACATGTTATGTTTGCCAACACACAACTTTGACTGTCATTATATTTAATTCTTTATCAGTAAAAATAAAATAAAAAACAGATTATAAAACTTAGTAATGAGACGAATTTAACAATATTTAAAAAAAAATTATATACATTAACAAATAAAATATAGTCAAAGTAAAGTACATGAATAGTGTATATATTCCAATGATGCAATTAATGCGATAAGGAGGATAGTACTAAGTATAAATGAAGCAATCATTTGGCATAAGTTTTAAAACAAAAAAAAGGGACAAAAAACATATTGTTGCAAAAAAATTACGTACATCGGCTAATCGGGAATACTTTATTGCAAACAAAGAAATATCATTATTTAAGTAACACGAAAGCTCTATTCATTGGAAGAAAGCTTAACCCATCTTGGTATCATACTAATCATCATTAAGTTTGTGTGAAATCAAAATATTTTTATTAGTCATGTCAAATCGATCATTTTTTAATTAATTGTTAATTTTATAGTGTCCCCACTCCCCAAACATAATGGTTCGGTATTATACCAATTTGGTCTCGTTTAACCGTTTCATTTAACTAAAATAAAACAAATCGTACCAAATTAACCGTTTTATTTAACTGAAACAAATCGTACCAAATTAACCGTTTTATTTAACTGAAACAAATCGTACCAAATTAAATTAGATCGAATTGACATTAGGTTAAATAAATATAAGTTTGTTTGGGTGTTTTTTTTTTCAAATTATTGTATTTTATCAAAATATAATGAATAAAATCGAACTTGTAAAAAATGAATAAAATCGAACCAAAATATAAAATTCAATAAGAGCTTAACATACGTATAAAAAATTCATAAAATGAATTGATACTGGCGTGTGACGATACGCCCACCCCTATATTTCCGTTGAAAGTTTTGAGATATAAAATGGACCTGAAGGTAATTTTAATGCGGCTGATTTACCACTTTTAGCCATTGCACTCAATACGCCCACCCCTATATTGCAATCAATTTCGCCATTGCACCCGCTGCTCTACGATGGTTTGACCACTTTTAGCGTTTTCAATAAATGAAAAAGTTGTTTGGTAAATAGTTGTTCGGCATTAGCGTTTTTGGACGGAAACGTTGAAATGAAAACACTGCAAAATAGAGAGCTTTGGGTTAACGTTTTGAAATATGACATTTTCTACTAATTTTATCGTCACATAGCTAAATTACCAAACATCTTTAGACAACCCGCCAACATATTCCGCTAGTCAAACCCGTTGACTGAAAACGCTATTGACAACTCTGCTAACATAATCCGTTATCCGCTAACCGCTAATCGCAAAATGCCAAAATGTCTAGAAACATATTCTTTTTTGTTGAGTCTTAATTCATTAAACTTTGTATTTTATGAGAATGGAACTTTAGAAGAATATATCCATATGGGCTAATTTTTCAACTTAATAATGATACAATCCATAGCTTATCATAAGTATTATTATATACTAAATCACAAAAAATTACGAGTAAGTTGGACTCTTTCCATGTCTATCCTTATGTAGACCCGAAAAAAAGCTTCGCCCGTTTCTCTTAATCATTTGAGCTTATATATGTCACCATCTATTTTGGACTGCATGCTAAATATGTAATTGCGCAGATCGTTTTCATATGCATTTTCTCAGTACATGGTAATGGTAACCTAGGGGTCCTGCGGTTTTAGAATAATTATAAATTTAAAAGTGATCGATGTAATATTTTAGAGGGGTGCTTTTATAGTAAAAAAAAGACTAGAAATACTATTTCTTAATTCCTGCATACCAAGATAATTCAATATCTGTGTGTGGTTAGTAGGAAATGATTGTTAAATTAGATATAACTTTCATCTTTTTTCTATTTAAGTTTAAATTATGTGTTGAGGGTGTTGCCTTAACTAGAGTAATTATGTGTTGACAGTGTTGTCTTAACCACAATAATAATGTTTAGAAACTTCAAAACAGGATTCTGGGTTGTTCACTTAGATCTCCGACTTAGACCAAACTCAACGATCACACAAACCACCACCAAAGCTCACACAATGGTAAACAAATTAGAAGAAGAGTTCGAACAAAGGAAAGATGAGGAGCAAGGTTCGGAGACTTGAACCCTAACCCTCTCTCTTCTTCTCTCACTCTATCTCTCTAGGTCAAGCAAAATGAAGGCCCTCGCACCAGAAGAAGACAAAGGCCAAAAGCCTTAAATATCAATGGTTAAATGAAAATCCTAAACGATGGTTCCAAAAATGAGTAGGCGCAGACGAGCTGGGCTAGACAAAAGAAAGGGCCGAACACAGTTGAACTGAAATAATGGAAGATGAGTTGTCTTAGCCCATATGCCAATACCTCCACAAGGACACTACATTTTATTTCTTAAATAGGAATAGTTAGTGTTACACATGGCAAAAATATTGTCAACTATTATAAGAGTATACCTTCCTCCTAGATAATTACCATAATATGACAGTAAACTTTAATGATTGCAGTAACTTACTCTTGTTTAGGGGGAATATACGGAATTACGGAGTATTACTCTTGTGATCTGTTTGTTTTGGGGTTAACCTAGGTTATTGCATGTTTAATTTTTAGTTAACCTCGTTTATTTGTATTTATGCAACAAGAACCTAGGTTATGGGTTAATCTCACATAACTCCCTAGAACCTGGAAGAATCTAAAAACGAAGAACCCTTCAAAGTGGGGGGGAGGGGGGGGGGGGGGAGGGGGGGGGGGAGGTTAAGCTGTATTATTAAATAAAATGAGCTAGAGTACTTTCATTCGAACAATATTTACTACATTAACCTAGGTTAACCTTATTTATTTCCAAACACTATTTTACGCATGAAACTAGGTTCACTTAGGTTAACCTAGTTTTTATTAAAATCTAGGTTTACTTTATTGCACTAGGTTTACTTAAGTTCAATTTATCCAAACATAGCATTATTCTCCTAGGATGAAACTCTATTCTCTTTTCATCGATGTGTTTAAAATTTGATGTACATCCTCCTAGAGAACTATTCGGTCTATTTTTGAATCCAGAGAAAAGGGGTCATCTCTTTTTTAAACTAAATTTACGGAGTAGCTAAAATTATCATTTATTTTGTTATCCTTTAAAAACCTTCAAATTAGAGATCAAACTTGAAAATTGAGCATTTGAAGGGTTTAGGAGAATTATAAAAGTCATCTAAAATCATCCCCTTGTTAAAGGAAATTACTTGTAATGTATTGTCATTATAGATAGAATATGTACTAGTATATTATGTGTACTGAGCTAATGGCCCATGAGACCCAGTCCTTGTAAATCCCTAACTCTCCTCTATTTAAAGAGGATTTATCTATTGGAATAAACACACATTCCCCACAACACGTTATCAGCACGTAGTCTAGGTCTATTTTTTCACCCCTGTGCATCAACCCTTCTTCAACCCGCCGCAGCAAGGCTGCACCAACCCTCACCGCAGCAGCACAACAGCAAGGCTGCACCAGCCCTCCCTCCGCCGCAACACAGTAGCAATCTTGCTCCGCCACAGA